GAGCTAATCGAAACAATTTCTTCCTCGTCATTGCTTAACGTTGCATCCATATTGACGTTATTTTGATAGTCGTTAACTTACAAAAGATGAAGGAAGGACATTGAGTGTTCACGGTCGTCCTTTATGAAAAATTTTAACAACACTAATCAAATTACCTCGTTCGTCTACTCGACTGTGAGGAACCGCTATATGTTCTACGGCCATTTCTCCAACATACGAATCTAATATACGACGTCCGATCTCTATGTAAATGAGAATCCCTCACCACATAATGGCAGTACGCAGCTGTTTCATAAGTTCTTATGGAGCTCGTCAAGTGATTGAGACGTTACGAGATACAATGTGCTCAAGAATAGGTTGTCGGTTTCTGTGACAACGTGAGGAACGATAAAGCTCGTGTTTTGCATGTTACCACTGTCCATAATTGTAAGGAAATCTGCTCTGTCGTCAAATTCTCATATTTTATATCGATTTTAAGAAATAAACGACCAATTATAACGAATTTCATTAGCCCCACGGCAATTTTTTTTTAAAAACCCCCTACTCACCCTTTTTCACAATGTTTTTTCAACCCAAAATTGCAATATTTTTCATCCCGTTTCGTTCAATGAAATGGCCAGTTTTAAAATTCGTTTTAATTGGTTAGTTATGTTTTGTCGAATTGTTATAAAACATCAGCACTTGTCGACGAAATACATTTTAATCATCAGTATGGAGGAGAGTAACGTTCCGAGTACAAGCGCTGTTGTTTCTAACGTACCGGAAATGGAGGAAATCTTTTTGACTACACTGTTTCTCGTTGCGTTCCCATCGGTTGAAGCGTTGAAGTCCGCTATCACAAATTATGAAATGTCGACTTACAGTCATTATATAGTTCGAGATTCGCATTTGTGCAGAAATGAAAACTCGTACATTAAATTTGTATGCTGGAGATATGGCCGTATAACATCTAGCGGGTCGTCACAGCGGATCAGACGGAGGAGGTTATTTTATTATTGTTATTAACATTTTTTGTCATGAAGGGCTTCCATGAACACTCATGAATACAGTGATTGCGTTAGTCAGGCGACTGTCTGAGGAACAATGCAGTTCACTTTATAGCCAATTTTATCAAGAACTTCACGGTAGACTACCACCAACGCCGTTGAACTTATAAGCAGAACCGCAGTTGCACACTGGAACAAGCATCTCGACAAACTTTACAACGCCGTTGATGCACCGGGGAAATGTGGATTTGGATGAAACGTTAAGTAACGACGAGGATGACGTAGTTTCTATAAACTCAGAAGAGTTAACAGAACGGGACATCCAAAATGAAGAAAATGAAGAGAACCGTTTGTGTGACATCTGTAATCTTGCACAGCCGCCCTGTGAAACTGTTGATGAAGTGGGTTGGGTTTTCTGTCCTTGTGAAGCAATGTTTCATAGATTCTGTGGTTATGACCCATCACCGAACGTACGAGCAGTCCACTGTCCGATGTGTTTGGACGTCCCACCGCGAGAACGATTAAAGACCCTTTTCAGGGCCACCCACGAATTGATTTTTCCTAATATTGTTTTTGTCTATGGCAAAGGTCAAGTGATGAGGCACTTATTAATGTCTAATGAATTTAGATATCCCTTAGAGATTAATAATGGAAAAGCGATTATCGCTCATGTATTCGTAAACTGGTTTATAACGTTTATTAGATATAAAGGTTAAGAAAACTTGGACAAGATTTTGTCATCTAATGAAGACTAATCTAGTAATTTTATATTTGAAATATTGTGATTACTGTTCATGTTTTAATAACACATTTGTAATCTATCTAATACTAGTACATTTTGAGTACATTTTCATAGGAATATTGCAATATAGTGAAAATTCTAATTTACTCGTTAGGTCAATAAGTTTAATGAGAACATTTATTAGTGATTATCATTACGAAGATGAATGTGATTCAAGCTCATAGAGAAGTAAACACAATGAAGAAAATTAACTTTTTTTTATGAATAAAATAATGACAGTATAAAACAAGTTGAAACCATCATCATCATGGAAATGATTCATGTGATAAAAGGTCATATAGTAAGTGTAAAAAGAAATAAGACTATTATCCATTTCATGAATACAAAATGCAAGAATTTCATATTCTTGTTTAACATTAAAAGTACCTGAAACCAGAACTATGCGTACGTAAGAAGTACGTCTGATCGTCAACTGCGCCTTCATTGTTATTCATAACTACCGATTATATCAACGTATTCATTTGCACACCTGTTTACCAATCACATTGTAGCACTAGAAAACTCTCATAAAAATATTCAAAAATGAAAAATAAATTAGCGAACAGTCGTTGTCTAATTCTTATTATGAATGACCATCTACAAAATAATCGTTTACTAAATATTAAGTGTCTATTTTGGACAATTTATTACTACTCTCATATACTGTCAAAGTCAGTTCATTCAATGATGGTCTATGGTTGGTTCACCTGAATTATACACATTGCAATCAGTAATTTATCATGATGATTTATTGATATGTTGATTTGTTTTCCCGAAGAACAGACCATGTGTGTTACAAAAAATCCTATGCACACACTTTGGTAATAATTTGTTTATTAATTGGGTATTCAGCATCAGACAACCGACCTAATTCAGTAATCACTATGATCAAATATTCAAACCGGTTTTCAGTTCCTTTCTCCCAAAAACTTTCTTTTACTGAGATACATATAATTATTTGTGTTAAGATAACTAACGACTTCAATTCAAGGTACACTTGATCGGAAAGCAAAAATTTATCCCAATACACATTCACTAACAGTAGGATTGCACGGTAATGCAATTAAGTTGGTGTCTTTTTCTTCAAAAGTCTAAATTTTTTTCAAGACTAACATGACACAAAAAGATTGATTCATTATCATTAAATTTCAAATGTAAAAAATGAAAATCCGCACATCCAATCACAGCTCAAGATACGATTTCAATTTCAACTAATCAGATTACAAAGATGAACAGTTAAAGATAACACAAAATGTTTCTTCATTATCACTTGAGCACACACTTGCAAAACGAGTACACCAATCACCGATCGCTAAATTTTTCTTTCACACCATACAATTTTTTAGAAATGGGTGGTAGGGAATCTTAATTGCCGTGGGATTTATGTCAATCGAACAATCTGATCACACATCATCTACTTGTTAAGAACATTTATATATGAAAATTAAAAGGTCAACTAGACAGGTTAAGGGTAAGTCATAACAAAGGAAAAATATTAAAGTACACAAAAACAAATGTGATTACCACTCGGGTTAGTAAATCAGTACTATTAGGGTTACCCTTTGAAGTTAATGAACCGCTGGAAGGGTTGCAATATGACTAGACCTATGACGCTTCTGGCACTCAAAAAGCGAGTTTATATTACGCTACCATTCAGAGGTGACACAAATAGTCTCATGTTGAAACAGAGACTTAAATTAGCTATCAACCGGACATTTTATGCAGCCCAACTTGTCATTATCGAAAAGACAATGTCTATGTTTCACCGAAAGCCCAAACAGCACGAAAACGATTGTGTCACATCCCATTGTGTCTACAAATTTACATGTATGAGTGGACGTCCATAATAGGACGAAGCGATCGTCCAGTGCTTCCAGGTTTTCCATCATGGTCTAGCTTCAATTGACTCATGATTTCAACCTGTGACATATAAAATAGTCGATTATCAAGTTTATTGGTTAAAACTCACTTATTCGATAGAATCATGTGTTATGTCAAATAAATACCTAGTGTTGTAGTGAATAAAGGAATCAGGTGGACGTAATCATTCTTTTTTGTTTGATGCAAGATATCAAAGCTATACATCAAGTAAATTATTTTCACATCTTTCTTCAGTCATTTATCCTTTACATGTTTTGATGATTCTTTCAATTCCATTGTTATTATAGTTACTCTCTGTTTACATTCCTGTTCTCTTCAATTCAATCTTTTACTACCTGGAGTTCCATTCCCGAATGGTATTACATACCACCATTTATATATGTCACCATAAGTAGAATACATCACAATATAATAAATACTAAGGTTTATAATGGTTTTTAAATGTAGAACTAGGGTTGTTACAAACTGAGTTTGTTAAAGCTAATGATAAAAAAAATGGGACTAATACAACAATTAACCGACTAGTTGATTTAATCCACAGAAACAACAATTTATCACTTTAGTAATGCTACTGAAAGGGGAGTCATTAGGTAAAGACCCCTGTGTATCCTTGATTTTATTATCATATAAAATAGTTTCAAAAGTTAAACAGAAGTGGCAAAAAATCTTTTTTGTTCATTTATCTTTTTAAAGACTAGTTATTCGTTATTGGTGAGTATCCTATGATGGTAAAGTGACATCATCATCCTTATGATCGTTATTATTATTATTATTATTATTCTGTCAATTGACAACATTCAATTCTCCTACTATGTATTTCATTGACACGATTTTCTTATAATGCTTAGTCACTTATTGTGACTGAACACTTTACTCCCAAATCATCCCGACCTTTAATGAATGATCTTTCTGATTTGTAAATTTCTATATCGTAACCGATGTAGACGTTCACCATTGTTCACACACATTACATTGTCTAATTCATTAATGCCATGCCATATTTTTGGCCTTTATAAATATGGAAATTATGGGCTTATAACTGTATAGTGTGATGATGAAGTTAATGAAAACGATTGTTCGCTAAATTATTTTTTATTTTTGAATATTTTAAGGGAATTTTCAAGTGCTACAATGTGATTGTTAAAGAGGTGTGATTACGGTGTGAATACGGTGATATAATCAGTAGTTATGCATGACAATGAAGGCTTAGTGGATGATCATACGAACGACTTACGTACGCATAGTTCTGATCTCAGGTACTTTTAATATAAAACAAGAATATGAAATTCTTGCATTTTGTATTCATGAAACACCTTATAGTCTTATTTCGTTTTACACCCACATTTAATCACATGAAACATTTCAATGATGATGATGATGATGATGATGATGATGATGATGATGATGATGATGATGATGATGATGATGATGATGATGATGATGATGATGATGATGATGATGATGATGATGATGATGATGAGATGATGATGATGATGATGATGATGATGATGATGATGATGATGGATGATGATGATGATGATGATGATGATGATGATGATGATGATGATGATGATGATGATGATGATGATGATGATGATGATGATGATGATGATGATGATGATGATGATGATGATGATGATGATGATGATGATGATGATGATGATGATGATGATGATGATGATGATGATGATGATGATGATGATGATGATGATGATGATGATGATGATGATGATGATGATGATGATGATGATGATGATGATGATGATGATGATGATGATGATGATGATGATGATGATGATGATGATGATGATGATGAGATGATGATGATGATGATGATGAGATGATGAATATGATGATGATGATGATGATGATGATGATGATGATGATGATGATGATGATGATGATGATGATGATGATGATGATGATGATGATGATGATGATGATGATGATGATGATGATGATGATGATGATGATAGTTTCCACTTGTTTCATAATTAATTGCGTTTACTTCCCTATGAGCTTTAATCTATTTATCATAGTAATGATATTGAGTAACGCTTAACAAAAATGGAGTTGGCCTCTCAGCCATCCTCTTTGTGCGTCATTTTGCTTGGCTCTGTTTCATTCACTTCATATACAAAATATATGTATTCACAAATCGATTCTCGTTATTCGACTTATTTAATTCCGTTATTGGCTAACGCGATTAAGTCGACGATTATATACGAGAACACGCGACAGCAAACATTTATACGATCTAATTCGAGTCAGATGAAACGGGACACAAAAAAATACCACTTGAAGCCAGTCACCAGCGAGCATATATTGATTCATATAAGAAGGGCTTTTGTGGATATTTTAGTAATTTCAGTGGTTTGACTCGTGGGTGAACATTGCTGAGGAGTACCAAAATAGGACGAAACGTTCGTTTATTTCTTCCAGGTTTTCCATGACGGTCTAGCTTCAATTGACTCACTATCGCAATAATTGAAATTGCAATGCAAGTCACCTACAACTATTATTGATAATATACAATTTTCATTAAAATGGAGTGTGATAATGAATAGCCTATACGTAGAACAATAAACCAAAGTTACTTAACGGATAGTACCAAAACAAATTCACCGCTCCATTTTATTTTCGAAATGTCGGATAGTATTATTGATTACCTATGATAGTTTCTTATGAACGACAAATCGCCTTCGTTGTTGTGAATGGCATGTTGCCTAGAAATAATGACGGAGACATTAAAAAGGGGACTGCAAATGTCATCATGTGAGTGGCATTATCCTGTGCAAATCCACCACACTACTCCCTACTCCTTAGTAGTTTCAAGTGTTTTCAAATGTTTACAAGACATTATTGTTTGCTATGCCTACACTCGTCTTAGAAGTGCAGGGTTTTATCCTTTGAAATGGTTTAAGTAAAAGAAATTGTGGAAAGACTAAGTAGAGTTCAAGTAGCAGATGAACATGTATCAAAATTGGATGAGATGAGACTTACATGATAGTCAAACTCTTACCAATGTCACAATTGATTGATCACTGGGTGGTGATCAATGTCATCGTGTCTTGTCCTTAATAATGCAGATCGAATGCTATCGATATTCTTGCAATGTGGTCACCAGTCTAGGTGACTCGACACTGCGGGCACTATATATTAAGATTTAGATGACGGTTAGATGTAGTCAACAGGAAACCCTGGACCCGGGTTTCGTGCTACTTGACACTCGTCAGCAAGGTGTACCTGTAATCTCGAGGGAACTGGTGCTACCTGGCGGATTCGATCTCGTGTCACCCAGCTTCACAGCCACAGACGTTACCACTGAGCTATCCGAGCCGCGGTCAACCTCCTGTAGGACTGAGATGTAATCACGAATGATCGATCATTGAGTGGTGATCAATGTCATGTGTGTCAAGACATTCTTAGTGCAGATCGAATCCTGTCCTAATGACAATGGTCTTTGAGAACGCTTAAAAGCAATCACCAGTAATTATGAAATCGGTTAAGAAACAAGTCGATTTTGCGTATGAGCAGTCAGCAAAACTTATCAAAGTATTGCTGAACCATCCACGATATCAATAGCGAGCCTCCAGTCTCATATATTGCGTTCAGCTACACATAGCAATATAACATATACTAATGTATACATTCGCTTTCTTTATTTGTCTAAGCGATAATAATTGAGCTAGTCAACTAGTCAAATGTAAACAGTATAGAAACTAGCTTAAATCCATTTTGATCTAACAGGTCACATATTCTACTAGCAAAATGAGAGCTCATTTGAACAAGATACGAATCACATATTACACAGTGATAAAAATTACGAAAGGAATGCTGAATATAGTTAATATGTATATGATACTGAAAGTGTAGATGAAATTTAAGAAGATTTATATTGAGTCGATTTGATTTGCATCAGTGGGCTTCAACATACGCAAAGGAAAAACCAAGATTCTCAAATACAACATCGATAATACTAACCCAATCACACTTAATGATGAAAATCTGCAAGTTGTGGAATCCCTCTCCTACCTAGGAAGTATCAACGATGAACAAGGAGATTTGGATTCAGACGCGAAGGCGAAGATTGGCAAAGAAAGGACCGCACTCCTACAATTGAAGAACATAGGGAACTCAAAACAACTGTCATGCAATATCAAACTAACAATCTGTAGTATGAACTTCAAGACAGTTCTATTGTACAGAGCTGAAACGTGGAGGACTACTTCAACCATCATCAAGAAGGTACGAGTATTTATAAACAATAGTCTACGTGAGATACTGAACATCTATAGGCCGTATACTATCAGCAACAGCCTACTGTGAGACAGAACAAACCAACTTCCTTCTGAAGGGGAAAACAAGGAAAGAGCGATGTAATTGGATACAACGTACATTACAGAAAGCATCAAACGGCATCATGAGACAAGCGCTAACTTGGAATGCTGAAGGGAAGCGAAAAGGAGGAAGGTCAAAGAACATTAAACGTCTGGAAACAGAAGCCGATATGAAACGGATGAAAGGTAAATGGATAGAGCTGGAAAGGATCCCCAGAGCAGGGTAGGATGGAGAATGATGATGTGCAGCCTATGCTCCTACACGAGGAGTAACACTCGCAAGTAAGTAAACAAGTAATTTGATCTAATCATTTATTATTAACAAATATAATGCAACATATTCACATACTATCATCGAATTCTTCAATAATCTTCCCGATTCCAAACAATCCTGCGTGCGGAATCGTAGTTTCATGATACTTACGAGTTTTATACTGTGATGAAACGGCCGTCAACTGCTTCCACGAATTTAAAGGTGGTCTGACATTAGTTGGCTTATGAATCTAACTACTAAATCAGTACAATCAGCAAGACATTGTTACTTTCGACTAATGAAACATACTACTGATATCTGGAGACATCAGTAGCACACACCGCAACATGATTCATTAAGTGTTTAAATAAAACGAATCACAAATTTAATATGAAACTGCAAATTTCCTTCATGCATTTTTCGTTTTCAACATTGTTTCAGACAAATTCCAATTGTTGTGACATAAAATAAACTCGAATCAAACATCACAATTATATCTTTGTAACACTAAAGTAATCTGATTCAGTTTATAAGAATAACACAAAATGAATAACAGATTACACGGTAATACAGTTGTATGACAGCCGGTTCATTAGTTTAGAGGTAGAGCACTCACGCATGAAACCTATAGGTCTTTGATTTGATACTCATGAGTGAGATCGTGGATTCGCATTGCTGAGGAGTCCTATACTGAGACGAAATGACCATCCAGTGAATCCAAATATTCTATAGGTCGTGAAGAAATAGCATCAAGTTACTGATCTGTGGATGGTGTTAGATTATTTAACATTTACTCTAAACAAGGCTAATTCATCTGAATGAAATAAGATTGATAATCATAGAAGAATAATAAGAATAAAGGCTTGTGGGGATTGTATTAATTTCAATAGTTCAATTCATGAGTCAATGTAAGCTGGACCACCATTGAAAACCTAGAAGCACTAAACGGTTGATTCGTTCTAGTATCGGATCCCTCATTAGTGCACATTCAAGATCTCTTCTCGATGTTATATAGAACTATAATTGTTCATCTTGTGCGGACTGCTCCGATATTGCCTTGTGTCACAGGCTTTATAAACAAAGATGGGTAGTGTCAAGCAGTGGAAACCACGACAAGCGTTTTGTCCTATTTGAGACCAGTCAGCTGGATATACCTACATCTCAGTGTTGATGTCCACTCTAGTACTCCGACATACTATTCGGTTTATAAACAAACTAAACAGATCACATTGAATATTGAATAAGAGAACTTAATGAATTATTACACGTCATGCACTGTGATATTCGTTGATTGTTATTTAATAAAATGATCTTATTAGGTAACGAATACATAGAATAACACACATTGAAGTGATTGAGTGAAGTGAGTGAATGAGTGAGTAGTTGAGTGTGCAAGTAATTGGGTGAGTGAGTGAGTACTTGAGTGTGCGAGTGAGTGAACGAGTGAGTAAATAACCCAACATATGTACCACATAAACTGATCGGTTTGTGTGTGAGCTGTGATATTGACCGGGTGGTTTTCTTAGTGTGTTACACCCAGAGCCTATGACTTAAAGGACTAATCCATGAGGCCATAGAGTAAGGTGATGAGATGCAGTTCCATGGTAGCCGTGATCAGCAATCGGTTCATACGTTATTCGTTCCTTCAGGATACTGGAGCCCATATGCATCATTGGTTTGGAATGACGGTTATCCAACTCCGCTGAGTGTACCCTCCAAATCCAGCAAACTGGTTAAACTACCGGACATTCGCTTTTCATCTTCTTAATATTGTAAACAACAGTAATGCTACGAGAAAACAGACAGTAGGATTTCTCTGGCAGTGGCTGTATACGCATGGCTATGTGAGAGCATTTGTAGAGCGAGAGATAACGTTTCCCATACTCGAGTTCGCTTTTCCCCTTCTCAATTTCGTAAACAACAGTAATGCTACGAGAAGATAATGAGTAAGACTTCACTGTCAGTGGTTGTATGCACATGGTCATGTGAGAGTATTTCGAGTGGGAGAGCGGACTCTACCCACTCTCGACCGTACCAGGGCATTTGGGAGCAAGAACAAATACCGTTAGAAGATTTTTGGCTAAACCGTTATTAAGAAAACAATGAGCTGTTTCGATTCTCTACTGTCTTTCTGAAGTCGTTTCTTTAATGAATTTTCTTTATTTGTATTTTGTTTACGCAATACCTTACTATTCTATATAGATGTTTTTAGACTACTTATTACAATGTTATAAGTAGTTGAAAAATCCTG